TGAAAAGCACACTCGCTGTCATTGCATCTTCTGGGGCAGGGTTGTGTCCGTGTTGGCTTCTGTTTGCGATTCTCTCCAGCTGTCCCCAGCCTCGCCTCGGGGAGTTGCTGTTTCTTATATGACAAAAAAGAAAAAGGAAAAAAGAAAAAAAAAAAAATCCCCCGCCCTCTTTTTGTTTTAATTTATTGGTTCAAGCTCTGTGAGGTGTGTAAGAGTGTAAATATGTATGTGTGTCTGTACGTCTGCAAACATCCTAAGGGACTATTTGAATAAAGACTCTGGTTGTCATTCGACTCGCATCCAGCTCATCCTTTCCAAAGATGCACGGTGAAATCCTCTGGCTGCCTTTGCCCTTTGCTCAAGCGTTTGTAAACCCTGCCCTAGCCCAAGGCATGGGGAAAATGGGGGCATCTCCTCTTCTGCCGCTAGAAAGTGTGGTGTGACAGCCTCGTTCTGCCTGCAGCGGCAGTGGGGACGGGGCCCCTGCCACGCACCGCCGCGGTGGCCGGACCTGCTTTGTCCTGAAGCTGGGACAGGTCTCTCTTCTCCCCCTTCCCTGTGCAGCAGGGCTGTGTACAGGTTAAAAGAGGGGAAGGATGGGGACTAACGCTGTGCTGAGCCAAATTCCCAGCGCCGCTGGGTGTAAGGGATCTGAGGAGGCTGAGGGCTGGGCTCGTGGCTCAGGCGGCATATTAGGGACAAGTGTTTTTGAGCCTCTGCCTGGACCAAGCCCTTCCCCAGACCAGTCCCAGGAGCCAGGGCTGCATTCCTGTCCCTGTAATTAAATTGTTGGTGCCTCACGTCCGCAAAGAGCTTTGCAGAGAGCGTCGCTTAGCAAGGATCTCCTGTGAGTGAGGGAGGGCTCCCCAAAGCACCCCTGGTGTGAGCGGAGCTGGGTTGCTCTTCCTGCAGCCGCCTTGGCAAGCCGTTGTCCCCAGCCCCTCTCGCTCAGTCTCTCGCTATCAGTAACTTCCCTGGAAGTTTCGTTATGGCAATTGCCACCAAACTGGCTCCTCTGAGTCACCTCCGGGAAGCTGGCACCCATCCTGACCCCTCTCCTTTTCCCTCTCTCTGCAGGGTAGATCCCCGGTACCCGATGGTGCTCATCTCTGCCCCGCGGTCTGGCAGCATCCCACCCCCGAGGGGCTGCCCCTTCCCAGACCCTCAGCCCGTGACCTCGGACCTGCTGCCATCGCTTTAGGGTGGACCCACCCGAGCGTGCCGGGGATGGATGGGGAAAGGGACGAGGCAGCGTGGCGTTGCCTATCGGCATGGTGTATGGCGCAGCCGCCGGCTCGGCAGCAAGGGGAGCGCAGGGGTGGGGATAGGGCTGTGCTTCGCCTCGGTGGAGGCAGGCGAAGGTGGAGTTATCCCTTTGTTTGTCCCGGGGAGCTGGTCTGACAGGAATTGGAGTAGCAGCGGGGTGCAGCAGGCGAGTGGCTCCAGTGGCCTGGTCCCGGTCCCAGCCCTGATCCTGCCCGGCCACCTGGGGACCCCAATGGATCTGGCTGCCAACCCGGGGGCTGAGGGCAGGGCAGGTCCCAGGGGCGTCGAGGGCCTCTGGTGGCCTGATCCCGGCCCGGTGGAGATGTGTCAAGTGGGTGAGTCCGGGTCTGGCATGGTGATCGCGATGGGAGGGTGCCCCAGCCCTGCCCGTGGCTCCAGCACTGCAGGGAAACTGAGGCACAGAGGGAGGGGAGCCGAGGGGCTTGGACAGGGTCAGGGATGGAGCTGGGCTGGACACTTGGGGGACGGCGGGGGGGCGGGGGGCGGGGGGCCGGGGGGGGGGCC